CTTGAAATTATATACGGAAGAATGATCATCACTAAACAAATAAATACATGTTTAAGTTTCCGCAGTGAAAAGCAACTCCGACGATCCAAAATGGAAATGGATTGAAGATGAATGGCTTCGATGACCCAACGTGCCTTAAAAGTGATAAATTTCCATGGGATGTATAATAAATTCAACTTGAACTGAATTATAGAGACACTTTAAAACACTCGCATAACAAAAAACTGTGGATAAATTTCAGTCGAAAATTCGAAATTTACCTACATTACAAAATATTTGGAGGATTGTCGAATCATTGTGCGTCAAAAAGTTTGACAAATAATTCCTTTTTCTATATAATCACGTCAATAAAAATTTTTATTTACTTCATCAGCATAATGCAAATAAAAATTCAACACATAATAATTTTGAATACAAGTAAATTTTAATAATAATAATAATAATTCAGAATAATTTAAAAAATTTATAGCGGACCAATAATATGTCAATCCGCGGTAACCTTCGATCATAACTCTTCTAGGCACAGACGACAAATCAGCAGAGGTGTCGTTTTGGCAGCCTTTGGTTAGGCTGGCTTCGATCGACGGAAATAACACGTTGCCCTCGCCCGATCAGCAATATTTGAAAACATCAGGCGACTTTTTTAACGAGTCTTGCGATCATTTTATACGCAAAAAAATTCATTTATATCGCATTCGTCGTTACGCTTAAAAAAGAAACACTCAAACGAATTTTTTTCACCACTTTATTGCTTCACAGTAAATTTAGTTTGATTCTTCGCTTATTTTCAATTAGAATAATTTCGGCACGATATATAAAATTCACATTTTCAATTCGCATGATCCATCTGAGCAAACGAACACACAAGAGAACAGTGCCTAAGCATGCAGCAAGAAATTACCTACAAACTATTTAATGCTTGAGGTAGCAAAACAATGAATATTTTCTCGTTCTTTTTTCCCATACAGAAATTTCCATGAATATTACTGATTTTTAGCTCTACTTTCGAATTAATTAGCCAGTTCCGTATTGGAAAGAATATTTTCGCGTCATTAGACCAGGAAACCAGCGCATTGCATACAGACGAAAGAGATGTAAGCATTGCTAATTGGATCCTCAAACAGCATTAGACGTGCGCTCAGTTACTCCAGCATTTGCATAAACAACAGGAAATGAATCAAAATGAAACACGAGGCATTTTGTAGGTTCTTCGAAGACGCTGTTCTGTTCTTCTGAGTTAAATCTTAATTAATTTCAGAGGAATTTTCTATTCGTATTAATGCAGCCAAGCGGTATATACGCGAATATTAAAAAAAAGGATGTGATTAATTTTAATTCATTACGGCATACTAAGAAACATATATGAATGAAGGAATATGAATTGAAGATAAATTTCGCAGGTGCCGAGAAAATTCTTGCTTACCGAAAAAAGGCTCAAAATTGAGAAGTGCTTACCGCACTTTCCAATCGATCAGTATAAGCGGGGGAGGAGCAGTCGTAAAACTATGCCATCATCTGTCGTTAGGTAGACCTTCCCTACTAAACTCCCGACATTGCTAGGCGGGCGGGCCTTCCCTAAACTTCCGAAATCACTGAGAAAGAGCCGGAGAGTACAGCAAAAATAATCATCATACCAATGACTATATTTAACCAAAAAGTTTTCTGAGCACCGATATGAAATTGACTTCGTCAGCTTCAGTCACTTTGTACTAATCATGTTATTTGACACGAGACTGGCTATCCACAAAAATGTTAACTTAACTTCTAGACACTAACTTAATTCACCCTCATCCGAATAGATACTTGAAAAAGTACGCAATTCAAGCAGATTCAATAAAATTTCAATGAGATTACTTAAAGGTATTGTTTAATATTAACTTCAGATTTTCTTTAATCATGCCTGTAATCGGACCGCATCGACTTTAGGCCCGAAATTTGACACAAGTAGTGGGCCGATTTTTTTGTAGCGCACTTCGTGGGTGCTGTTTCAAGCCTTACTCAAGGTCAAATCGATGCCGGTCTACACCTAATTAACAACACTAAACTTTTTATCCACAGTACCCTCTCGCGATCTTAGACTGGCTTTTTCTGTTCGCTTTGTTCTCGTTTCACGCGCTAAATTCTAAGTTTAGCATCACTTGAACGCCCAACTTCGTCATTTCGAAGCCGTTATCGACGTAAACAAACGAAGCTTCCTATTCGCATTGCGATCACAGAGTAATGTAAAAGGGATTTTGCTCTACTTCCATAGAAATGTTGAAACGACCCTTCCGGCGTTTATGGCTCATATATAGATATGAATCATGATGCGAAAGCTAACCAAGCAACGATAATCGATGCGATAATTCTGCATCAATCTTGGCCTTATCGATTACGCATCTCATACTTATCATTTTACCACGGGTGGCGTTGTCAAAACTCATCATTATTCCGTTCTCATCTAAAACAATAAGAGCACAGTCGCGGTTGCCCCTCGTTCTCGGCCATGCCCGAAAAACAGTTCCATCAGATTCAACCACCCCACGCATACCTTTTGCAATAATCAATCTACTTAATTAGAGTTTAAACCTAATTTTTTTTCCTTAAACGGTAATGAGAAATGTTAAATATTAGCTTGCTCAGTTTATAAACAGCAAGGTAAACAACAATCATTTCATGTATGTTATTAATGTAGGGCCAAGACATTACAATAAAGCTGCCTGTCTGCGCTTCGTTCGCACCCAGTCAGAATCATACAGCTAACGCTAGTTAGGACTTCGGTCTTTTGGAGAGCTGCTTCAACCTTGTGAGTTTCCCACGCTTTTCCAACTCAAAGCCGGTAATCATGACTTTCATGATGAACCACCACGCCGTACAATGATGCAAGCTTGTACAATGTACAATACTCGACAGCGATAACGTGCTAACTACGGGCACAACATCATACACAGTTTTGAATTCCTGATATGCATGCTTAATGCTTCACTAAATGCACCTGAAAGATAATTGCACCACAAGATGATCTGCATCCATGATAGTACTCAAGTTACCAACAAAGTATACTTAGAAAACGTAGATAAATAATATAATCAGAGATTAAACAAAAGACCAATCAGTCAAAAACTTTCATATATTTCTAGAGGGTCAGATCAGGAATAGATGCAAATTACAGACATCAACTTCACTATAGACGCTCATAGGTTAAATTTCAAAGTCCATGTAAATTTTATACTTACAATAAAATTTCTAATTTAGTTTTCATGGTATGTAGGCCACAGCCACACTTTATAATTTTTCTATTTCAATCTCCTATTAGCTATACAATGAATGTTACTCTCACATCACTGGCTGTCGCTTCTTGATATTGTGTGCATGGTCCTCGAAGCTGTATAATTCGTATTTTATTTCCACCTCACATTGGAGGTCATGCTGAAATACTTCGGCAGGCCCTAAATCTTGAGATGTTAGCAAATAAAAGCAGTGGCATTATCAAACATCGACACCATTTCTGTGCTCTTATTTGCTTTTGCACTGTGACCACTATACGGTGGTAATGAATAAAGAACATTACAATATAGGGTAGCTACACATTCCCTGTGATCACCAAAATTTGATAAAGAAACAATCTCGATTGTCCACTGACAGCAATCGTCTCAATAATTCAATGCATCTTAATATTTATCCAATTGCATTCAATCAGTCACACAACGACAATAAGTAGTTAACAGGGTGGAATATGTTCGGTAGGTTTAGGCCAGTAACTGAAATTTAGAAGACTTTCTCTGATGCGAGATCTGCTGGTTAACCATATTGCGAGTGCAGGACGTAGCTTGCATATCATTCAGTAAGACATTGAAAGAGCGTATCATGGCACTGAACTTAGGTATCCTGGATGTAACGTAATCTGTTGAGCACAAAGCTTGCACGGAAGTCCCCGTTTGTATAGGTTGCATTTTTCTACCGCAACGTGATTGACGTAGTTTAACACGAGGCTTCATTACCAGTTTTGAACAGAAAAAGCGCGGGAAACTCATTGTTTATCTTAAGCCATCCGAACAAAAGCTAGCCTGGAGTTCTTAGACGAGTTTATAGGAGACTCGCAGCACGTTATTGCATTTTATAATGCACAGTATTGAATTGTTTTTTGAAAGTGAGCAACGCGATCAATGGAAATGTAGTGAACACTGAACACAGCATTTTCGTTAATGAGGTATAATATATTTAGATTTGACTAATTTTATTGAAAGAGATTGTTCAGAAGTGCACAATAAATTTTAGACCAAAACTTGTGCCTAATTCCGGGCAAAAAGAATTCGTGAGGTCCGTAGAAACTAGATTCATCACAACACAGCTCTCACGCCTCACAACACAGTTTGAACGACAGTTTACCGTCTGGTCGAACGACGCCAAAATCCATGGATATTCTTCTGTCAACTGGCGCTGCAGCAAACAACGCATCATAAATTGGAAAGTCAACATGACGAAAATTCGCTGATCCATACGGAAAGTTTAGCATCATTGTTTCATACCACCTGCGATGCTGCGAAAGGCTAAAAAATTAAAGCGTTTGAAGTGTTGCAAGTGCTACGGATATCGCATAGGCTAGCTACTTGTAGTTGTATGTAAATTATTTACCGTGCAATGGAGCACATGGGAGCATTGTTTAATATATGTACAATCAAATCTATCATATATAAATGGACAACCATTCATACATACTTCATAAATGGGTCAATATCATCGGTTCATTTTCATTTAAACGATAAGAATTCAGGTAGAAGTCGCAACTATTATTTTTACACTTAACGATACAAATCATACAATAACTTGATAAGAGTTAGGTTAAGCGATAGAGTAGCTTGAAACGAATACCTATACCTAGGTAACAATTTTTGAACTTCAGGTACTATGTGAATCACTACCGAATTAGATTTAAACTTCCATTTATGGTCTCTTAATAGTAACACGCTCAAGAATTACCCACGAAGATAAATACACATTGTAAATTTAGAACTACAAACCTTTGTTGGGTTCGGCCTGAGAGAATATTTCCTTCCTTGGCAGTAACTGCAAGTGTTCACAGTAAATACTTCTCTGGCCAACTTCCGTCATGCCCAAGTATTTCAGGAATATTTGTTTAATCCTTGAAGAGAAGCTCAAGAAATTCGAGCTGGTTCACACAAACTTTCATTCTATTTTCTCGGCATCACAGGCAGGAATCATCGAGCGAATGCCGAATGACATGACTACGGAGGAGCCCGGGCGCGCTATTCGCTTACTACACCGCACAGCCAACACGGAGACGCACACACACCCCGTCACTGCTGAGTCCTAACTGAAACTCGTCGCTGCTGCGTGGTATGTGTCCTGTGGATTACAAACGTCCTGCAGTGATGGTTGCAGATGTTGACCATGTTGCTGAATATATATAGTTGCAATTGCTTACAATCTTGTTGACCATTGATCGTTGCAGTTATTAATCACATTCTATTTCAAAAATACAATGATCGCAAAAGTGACATTTATGAATGCATTTGAAAGGCAGAGTGATAGGCAGATGGGTCATTCCTCACAATGATAGGCAGATAGGTCAGGTGGGGGTATGACATGAAGACATAGCATCTGCCTCTGGAGCCACGATATCCCGAAATTATGAAGGCACCGTTGATCTGCAATCCAAGCACAGTCCTAACTTCAAACATATTTTTGCAGATGTAAGCAACAGATCCAAAACTACTTTAAACATCAGACGATCACTCCAACAGTTGTCGAGAATTTGACCACCGGAGAAAGCCGGGAGGTTGAAGCTCCAAATCGTGGTTATGCGTTTCTAAGATTACTACAAATCGGATGCAATTTCCGTGGATGAAGTGAGCTGAAGCGTGGTTATAATTTTTGCAGTCTCATGTTCCATCGCCTAGAATTATTATTCAGAAGAACGTTCTGCGATGAGCGAAACCTGATACTAGATAATGTTTAAATTATTTTCTTCTGTAAGATTACCATAGATATCTTTTATTTCGTCTTTGCTATTGCAGGTGTAATTTCAAACCAGACCTGCGCCTATGCAGCACATTTAAGCCATGACAACAATCACACAAATTTATAGCCTTCTAGAAAATGTCGTCTGAAAAGAAGACATCACGAGTTTATCATCGTTCGGTTCCATGCTTTTTTCACCCGATTGCAGACTTGAAGCCAAATTTATGATCATGTTGAAATTTTGGAGTATGCAGGCTCTGAATTACTGGGAGCCTGTAAATTTAACTTTTTCGGATATCAAAATTGCAGAGTTAACTTTCTTGGAAGCATTATCAGTGTTAATTATAAGAAATGAAGCGTGAAACAATTGTGATAATCAAAGTCAGCTGCACCAAAAATTCTCTATGAACTATGAACAGTGTGCCGGAATGCGGTCGTTTTCAGGGCCTGATTGCTAAATTAGATAACCAGCAAATGGAAAAAATAATTATGATAACTAAAAATTAACAAAGTATAGTGTTTACGACTGAAATAAATGATTCTTTTCTTAATTTACATGCATCAGGCACATGGATGTTCTCCGACAACTTTCATTCAACAATCATTTCAATTTTTTTTTCAATGTACAGGGATATTCTAAATGACGGACCCAATTTAATAAATTCATATTTGTTTAAAAATAAATTCAAATGAATAATTTCATTTAAATAAATTCAGTTTTAACTTATATTTTCATAAATACAAATTTATTAATTTGGGACTACCATTTAGAATACCGTAACCCTGTACTTTTTTCTGCTATTTGTATTTTTAATTCTACAAATATATTTTGCAACTTTATCCACGGGAATAATCACTAAAAAATTAGATGAGATTATATTCCGCCCATCATTCTGAACATTGCGATCAACGATAATCAACATAGAATAGCCCTGGCAGGCCAACAAACCTTTGCTATGCATACTCGTATCATCTTGTGCCAAGTTTTCACCACCTAACCTGGATCGATCCAAGCAGACAAACATCCTATCGATTATCAATAACTCACTGTTTTGGTCTAGAAAAATGTGTATGAACACTGCGGGCAAATTGTCGAGGAAGTCAAGCATTTCCATCTTCAAAAAAGAAGAATGAAGGCCACAACCGATTATTAATTGAGGCTCTCCTTGATATTAGTTGTTTAGTAAAAAGGTTCGTGACAGAGCTTTTGCACGCGATAACTTGCTCTGCATCGGTTATTGCACAGCACTTCAAGGCCAGCTAAATGAAGGATGCATGCTACTGACTTATGGCTAGAAACTCTGTAACATTCATCACCAACCAGGGTCGTAAGACTTATCAACAGAGGCTGCATAGCTAACTTATTGTAATGCTCGACGAAGAAAACATAATTCGTGTTCCTCAAAATTTCAAGAATTATGAATAGTTCTTCTAGATTCTTCTTATTTTAAAGTAATATTGATCTCTCAGTAACTTTATTAGAATGCGCAACGACAAAAACAGTATTTAACATGTATTTAGAACATGCGACTTAGTTTACAGCATATATATATGAATATCAATTTTCATTTATACAGATAAATGCCATATGTGTTAGTAAAATCCTCTATTAAGGTACCTTATACAAATCGCCCTGAGTTCAAATCGAAGAACGATCGAATGATGCCTTTTGACTACAAACATTAAGGGTTGATATAATCTAGTTCTCGATTTATGATAACGGGAGCAACCGAGCACGATAAATGAGTGTTCACTAAATAAGTAAGTGTTCACACAAATATTTTCTAGGGTGATCACTATTGAATTCGTCATACAAATATTTTCTTAAACACTTCAAAGCATCAGAAAAGCAAACAACGAAACAACAGCTTTTTGGATTATCTTCAGAAGGATTAAACACGAATAAAAGCCACCATACCCTTAGATTAAAGATTATATCGAGAAACGAATGTGTTATAATACCGGGATGTTTGCTGTTCATACTTCTTGGAGAAAATTTCCCTTACATAAGTCTTTTTCGATAGTTATGTGTACAAATACCTATGAACAATTATACAACTCTTTAATTAGATGTACGAATACTTATTGACAGCTATGGAACGCTTTAATTAATGGTATATTGTGTTGGTAATGGTAAATATTTTGTTAACACAAAAATGCGGTTTAATTATTTATTCATACAGTGACGTATGATATTCGATTGATATACTCAATTGCTCGACACCTCCAACTTAGGCGCTCGTTTGCAGGCCAGGCTGCTGTCTAATTGTCACGTACTTGTCGGCTCGCATCTGGCATTGACTCATGTTTTTATGACCTATAATGGCACGGCTGCCGAGTGCAGACTGCGATATTCTACGCCATGCGGTCGTCTTGAAGAGCCTGCTTCTCCACCCGGTCGTTGAAGCTCAAATGGACGCTGTTTGCTCAAGCGTAGTCACCTATTTGTTGAGCCAACACAATTATTCTCATAGATACCTTGACTGACAACTATAATTGAATGCTTCTGCTTAGGAATCTGTAATGAGGAAAGCGCATTCGATGGCAGTCGCGACCCAATGCTGAGCCTGCAATAATTTCCTCTCTGAGGGTGAATGAATGCTCATGCCGCAAGAGGGTGATAAAATAAAAATAACTAATCTTTCATTTGGATTAACATTCAAACTTTTCTCGTGAATTTTTAAAAGGCTTTCATCTTCTGAAAAGCTATGGTTGATTAAAAATCTTGCAAGCAGTTTTGAAACCTGTTTGCATTGCATTTTTTGTGTTTCGTGTGAATGCAGGGAAAATTAAGAAAATTGTTTTAAATAACTATGAAAATGCATGTTAATATTTTGAAAAACGAAAGGATCATTAATGAAACATTTTTGAAAATGCAGAAAATTGATTGAGATGGATATAAAATGTGAGGAAAGCGTAAAAAATAAATAATTGAATGGCCAAAATAAGGAAATTCACAGCTAAAAGCTAATTTTTGCTTATTAATTTCATTATTGTGATCAAATACGTTGTGGAAATGAGTGAAAACTAGATGCCGCGATGCACAATTACTTGAAGTATTTTTGGCCGAATTTGAGTGTCTTTTGAATGACCATACCCACAACTATATGAACATTCACCGTCAAATTTAAAATTAATTTACCGAGTACAGCAAAGAACAATTTAATAATAATTACCATTTGGCTAGAAAATAATAAAGCATAATTCATCATTAAAACGACATATACTATGAAATAGAATTGGAATTGAATAGCACAGCACCAATTTCAATCGTTTCTAATTTACAAAACATTAACGCATACATCCCTTATGTACTGTGCTCCATCACTTTACAACGTAATAAGCGTACAAAATAACGGCAAAAATTATAGACCTTTCCTGATACTATTAACAAATATGGGTACTGTCACTGGGGGATTGTCACTGTGGGATCCTGCGTCATCATCTTGTAGGTGCTGGAATTATCGGCGCAGCATAGCTGGCCGCCGCTGGCTTCCTCAGGCGACACTCAGGCAGCTATTGATTGGAGGCGTGGCTGCCTGTGTCCAGGTGACTGCCAGGGCCCGTGACTGCAGCATTACTGCATTACTGCCTGCAGCATTACTGCATTACTGCCTGCAGCATTACTGCATTACTTCTTGCAGCATTACTGCAATACTACTTGCGGCATTACTGCATTACTACTTGCAGCAGTACTACATTACAGCCTGCAGCATTACTGCATTACTGCCAGCAGCATTACTGCATTACTACCTGCAGCATTACTACTTGCAGCATTGCTGCATTACTATCTGCAGCATTACTACTTGCAGCATTGCTGCATTACTACCTGCAGCATTACTGCCTGTAGCATTACTGCATTACTACCTGCAGCATTACTACTTGCGGCATTCTGCATTACTACCTGCAGCATTACTGCCTGTAGCATTACTGCATTACTACCTGCAGCATTACTACTTGCGGCATTACGGCATTACTACCTGCAGCATTACTACTAGCAGCAGTACTGCATTACTACCTGCAGCATTACTACTTAAAGCATTGCTGCATTACTACCTGCAGCATTACTGCCTGTAGCATTACTACATTACTCCCTGCAGCATTACTACTTGCGGCATTACTGCATTACTACCTGCAGCATTACTGCATTACTACCTGCAGCATTACTACTTGCAGCATTGCTGCATTACTACCTGCAGCATTACTGCATTACTACCTGCAGCATTACTACTTGCAGCATTGCTGCATTACTATCTGCAGCATTACTACTTGCAGCATTGCTGCATTACTACCTGCAGCATTACTGCCTGTAGCATTACTGC